TTTAAATATCTCAAGTTTTCTCTAATAAGAATTATCCTCTAATGTTCTCCACAAGTATCACTTTCACCTCACCTAATCGAAACTGATGATATGACACTTGGGGAGAACATCACACGCTACATTTTAATAATGTCACATTTAAAAAAGCAACATGCCACTAAAATTTCCAGAATTATTCTAATTTACTCAAATGATACTTTTATATTTAAAAATTTGCAATGAAGTCCCTATATATATTTTTAGGACCATTCAAATTCCACCCCTAAATTTTACCAAATTTACAATTTGGTTTCAAACAACTTTGCAACTTAAATTTCCATCATTCAAATACTAAAAATTAACATTGAACACCCCAAATATCACATTCTTGCAATAATATCCCACAACTCTCAAAACTTGTAAATTAGCCCCTTTTTCTTTTTCAAGCTTCCAAATTGATCTCCAAGTTACATAAAACACTTCTAATATCCATACAAGACCATATGAATTATTTCAACATTTCCCCCCAAATTTCCCTAATGGCTGAACCTATATAGTGCTTTAGGACATGGTTTTCATTCAATTTCATGCATGAATTCAACTCCCTTAGATCAAATCCATGCTATTCTTACCATTACACCATCAAATTGAATCAAACTCCAATCAATCCCTAAAACCCTAAAGTGTTCAAATGCTTTAGATCACTCTACACTTGATTTTAAACATCATACATGCTTGAGAATTAATCTCCAACATTAAAAACACAATAATCTTTCATTAATTCTTTAAACTCCATAAACCCTACATAACCCTAACTTTCAATATCAACACATAAGCTTGTTCACCATGTAATACTTATACCAAATGGTAGAGAATTTCATGTAGATTAATTCTCTATTTCGCAACTTAGTCCAAAAATTAATCACGTAAGCTTAAAAATAAAAAATAAAATACTTACCTAGAAGCAATGGTGGTTTCGGCCTTGAACTTGGAGATGGCTGAAATTGTGCTAAACTTTTTGATTATTCTAGTATAAATTAAACTTAACATATGGCACTTTAATAATATAATTGAATTTAAAATTCAATTAATTAGAAATTCCAAAAATACCATCAATGAATCTTAAAAATTACCAATTACCATTGCATTATTTTACATTAAAATATTCCCTAGTCAAAGATGAACAAATTTGAATTTGACTTTCTACTTTGGTCATACAATTTTCAAAAATTACATTTTAGTCACTAAAATTTCCATTGTTCAACCAAATCCAAAAAAGTACATTGATCTGAGCTAAATTTCTCTGATCTAAAATATGAAAATAATATTTCCAGCCATCCTCTAACCTCCTTCATTTTTTGTAAAATTCTGGTTCGATCCGATTATTCGATTTCTATACCGAAATTTAATGCTTTATAGCTTTTCACATAAATCCCTTATCGAAAATATTATTACCACGAAAATCCTTGTTTTATTCCAAACGATTAATTTAAGGGATAAAATATATAACTTTTTAAAATTACATTTTTAGTCCCTAAGTTTTTCAAAGTTTATACTTTAACCACTAAACTTTCAAAACATACATTTTAGTCACTAGACAAAATTTGGGATATTACAATTATTCCCCCTTAATGAAAATTCGTCCTCGAATTTTCCATTCGTAATTACATACATGGAGTAAAAAGATGAGGAAATTGTCTTTTCATGTCTTCTTCTCATTCCCAAGTCGCTTTCTCAACTTTATGGTTTCGCCAAAGAACTTTCACTAGTGGAATTGACTTATTCCTCAGTTTTTTGACTCCATGAGCTAAAATCTTTACTGGTTCTTCTTTATATGATAGATACGGTTGAATTTCAATTTCCTTTGGTGTAATGACATGCAAAGGATCCGATCGATACTTCCGAAGCATCGATACATGAAACACATTATGAATCTTATCCATATATGGAGGTAACGTCAACTGATAAGCTACCGGAAAAACTCTCTTAATATTCTAGCCAATGAACCTTGGACTCAACTTTCCTTTACGCCTGAATCTCTTAACCTTTTTCTATGGTGATACTTTCAGAAACACTTTATCGCCTTCTTGAAACTCAATCTCTTTTCTTTTCAAATCATCATATGATTTTTATCTGTCAGCAGCTATCTTGAGATTATCTTGAATTACTTTCACTTTGTCCTCCACTTCCTTGATCAAATTTGGACCAATTATATCTCAATCTTTTAATTCATACCAATTCAAGGACGTTCATCATTTTCTTCCATATAAGGCTTCAAAAGGAGTCATTTTGATACTCGACTGATAACTGCTGTTATAAACAAATTCTGCCAAAGGCAAATACTTTTCCCATGATCCTTTGAAATCAATAGCACACGCCCTTAGCATGTCTTCAAGTATCTGAATGGTTCGCTCCGATTGACCATCTTTCTGAGGATGATAAGTTGTGCTAAATTTCAGTCTAGTTCCCAAGGCTTCATATAGAGACTTTTATAATCTCAAAGTAAACCTCGGGTCTCTGTCAGAAATTATCAAGACATGTACTTCATGAAATCGTACTATTTCTCTGATATATAATTTAGCATACTTACCCATCGAATAATTCTCTCGAACTGAATTGAAATTTTATTTATGATATTTATTAATTTCGAACGTGAGTTTTACGTATTCGGTTTGTATTTGATGTAGAATGGTTGTGGTTTCTTTCGATGGCTTGAAAAGGATGAAGGGTGTGGGGACGTAGTTGATGAATTGAAAGCTCAACTTCAAATATTATTACATGAAAATCGAGAAATTCGTATCGAAAATATCGAGTTAATGAAGATTGTGAAAACAGATGAACTTCAAAGTTTAGTAAGATTGACGATCAAAAGAATAAAATATGAGCATATAAACTCGAAGTGGCAAAGAATAAAAAAGATGCGTCAACGTTTGAGATTGTCTTGTTTGCATCATGGATTATATTTCTTATCATAACAAGTAATTTACTCTTTTGTTCTTGAATGTTATAGAACACTCATATTCAGAAATAAAAGTCTTTATCTTGAAACACTCATAATCCCCATCAAAAGAAGCATAAATCATGAAAGGACATCTTGTAGGAGTTCTGGTTCTTCCACTTTCATTTCTTAAAAATTTAAAATCAAATCTATGAACAACGGCATATGCATATAAAGATTCTTTAAATTGTTGTGGGCTCTCAAATACCATCCCCATTTTAAATATGTGCTCAACACTAAAAGCATCAAAGAAGACATTATTTTCTTGGGCAAAACCTCACCATCGGAATCACTCTCATGGCTATTGGCATCTTCACGTTCCAAGTTTCTTTCCCGTCACCCTCACTGTCTACAACATCTTCATTTCTAACTGTAAAAAGATTGTTAATTTCTAGATATGGTTCTAAGTCTTCATCTTCTACAGATCTACTGTTAGTGTTTTATCTTACTCTTTGTAACGAATTTATGTGTTGCATGCAACTATTTTTTTGTAACACTATTTTTGACCTGAGCAGAAACTATCTATGTCCGTGCATACGAAGAAAGGATGGATCTACTACGAGCAGCCCTTGTCGGTGCTCCTGGAACGCCCTACCATGACGGGCTGTTCTTTTTCGACATTTATCTTCCTCCGGAGTATCCCTATGAACCACCTGTAAGCTCTACTTCCAACCTTGCTACTACTAATTGCAGCTTTTGGAATGCAAATATAAGTGGTCTCATAAATTATGAAAATGTTATTATCCTTAAACATATCTCATGAAACTCGAACTTTTGCAGTCGGTGTACTACCAATCCGGGGGGCTACGCCTCAATCCCAACCTGTATGAATCAGGGAAGGTTTGCTTAAGCCTTCTAAATACATGGACAAGTTCAGACACCGAGGTCTGGAATCCCGGAAGCTCCACAATTCTACAAATTCTCTTGTCCCTCCAGGCTCTTGTGCTTAACGAGAAACCATATTCCAATGAAGCTGGATACAATAAACAGTTAGGACGAGCTGGGGGGGAGACAAACTCTGTGAGCTACAACGAGAATGTGTTCCTTGTAACCTGTCAGTCCATGCTTTATATTCTGCGCAAGCCACCCAAGGTAAAATCTTGCAATCTAAACATCTTTCCGGCTCCATTCGATGAGTTTGTAAGTATTCTTTAAGATAATTGATTGGTCCTAAACATCTTTCTGGCTCCATTCGATGTTTGTTACAGCATTTCGAGGCACTTGTCAAGGAGCATTTCAGTAAAAATGCTGAAACGATCTTCTCGGCTTGCAACACATACATGGAAGGTGCACGAGTAGGATGTGCTCTTGAATGCAGTGGTAACGGGCATGACGAACACATCGAAGGAAGTTCGACCGGTTTCAAAATCATGCTGGCAAAGCTCCTTCAGAAGCTTGTGGAGGCATTTTCGTATCAGGGTATCGATTGCAGCCGGTTCCAAGGGAAGAAGTGAATCTGCTATCATATGAATACCATTGTACAATATTCCTCACCGGAATTCAAAACACGAAAAATGAAATCGAATAATGATTCCTTTAAGGAATCCTCTGTACTTATATCCAGGTGTGATTTGGTTAGAGATTGCTATGCTTTCCTAACCTATTACAGTGGAAAGTATGACTGTTATAGAAAACTATTGTTTGCAGACAGTAAGAATGTGAAATAAGAAGTGATGTTTGGGTTGGTGTGCTTTGAGATATGGGAATGTACCTTATGTAAATGAACTAAAATGACTCCAATCCGAGATAACTTGAATCTAAAACGATCATTTATAAATAAATAAGATGAAATTACACGAGCTTAAAATGATCAACCTTATTCATTCGATAAACTCAAATAAATCGAGTTTGAAATAATTTTGAAACCAAAATTTGCCATTAAATCCTTTATGCTTTATGGTCAAAAATCAAATTAAGTCTCCAAACATGATGGAGATAGCTTTAAATACCCCCACTGATTTTAACACTGTTTCTTCACCGCTCCGAATCTCTTTAAGATTCGCCATTTTCAAAACCAGTTACGATGAAGCCACCGGAACCTCCTTTTTACCCAAGAAGCCATTCAAAAACCCATAATTTCCAACCAATTCCCTTCCTTTTCGTCGTCATCGTTTTTCTTCTTCAAATACCAAAGACAATCTCCTCAATCGCCGCTCAAATACCATTAGAGTACATCCAACACTGCAATGACGTCGTCCTGGCATCAACGGCGGAGCCTAGCGCTCTCTCTTCCAGCCCCTCCTTGTCTCACAGCCTCGACTTCAAAATTGGGTATTACTCCGGCGGAGACTTCATTTTCTTCCAACCGAATCTCGCCACCGATGTGCTGAAATCCGCCACGTTTCATGCTCGTTTCTCGCAAGACTACCTCGATAGTAATAAATCACGAATCTATAAAGTGAATGGGAAGCTCGTTTTACAAATTCCCAAATCACTTGTCATTTCTTCTTCCGGTGGCGGTGTATTAAACCCCCACCGTGGATTGCGGCGGACGTTCCGGATCAGGGGAACGAAAATTCCGTCCGTGGTCGATAGAGAGATGCGGAGGTTTTCACTTGGCGGGTTTTGGTCGGAATCGACTGGGAGGCTTTGTATGATTGGATCAGGGATGAGTAACGGAAATGCAGGTAAATTTAGGACCTTTAATGTTGTTCTTAAGCTCAATTATTCGACTAGTTTTAATGTTTCCGGTTGTTTAATCTCTGGGGTTCTTCAAAGTTTGGATTCTGAACATAGTTCGAGTTATTTTGAGCCTGTTTCCATATTGGGTGTGAGGAGCTTTGGGAATTATGAGTTTAGTTTGGTTGATAATGGAAAGGAAAGTTCATGTTTAAGTGAAGGAGAGAACTTGGATGTTAGCAAAGCAAATGGAGGACTTTGTTCAGTGATTGTTCACCGTAGGATTAGGTTTGGATTGGAATATGAGAAGGACTGTGATCAAGTTAATTGTAGTTCCATTATTAGAGATGTTAAGGATGCTCCAAGTATCATGTTTTTTCGACAAATGAAGTGTGTGGATGAAGGGAAAATGCTGATTTTGTTGGATTTTCGAAACTCGAGTTCTATCAGCGCTTTTCCCCCTTTTGATCCCAATACGACCCTGATCGCTGAGGGAGCATGGGATGAGAAGAAGAATGGTGTCTTTGGTGTTGCTTGTCGAGTTTCGAATTTCAGGGATTCTTTGAGTGTTCTATTAAGTTTAGCTTGAGATACCCCAAGGTTTTTTCACTGAGGAATAGGGATTCGATTGTGGGGAAAATTTGGAGTGATAAAAGCAAGGATGATCCAAGTTACTTTGATATGATTAGACTCAGGAGTGTTTGGGAAGTATCACCTGGGTTAAAGAATGTTCCGGGTTTAAGATACGAGTATACAGAGGTTGACAGTGCTCGAAGAACATTGCTGAAAACAAGGGAAATACATACCCTAACGGTGATTCAATAGACATGAGGTTTGAAATGATGTTGATAGATAGTAAAGGAGCAGCAGCATGGGGTGTTGCAAACCCGCTGTTTGTGGGTGACCAGCCCTACAAGTATCAACCTTATGGTCTTTTACCAATGTCAACTGTGTCAGCAGTTCACTTGAGCAATAATGACAGCAGGCTATTGAATATCAGCTACGAAATTAGCTACTCGTGTCGTTCGAGTGATGGTCGTATTTTGGACAGAGGATTTCTAATTTCTTCTGAGGGAGTATATGATGGGCATTCCGGTATTCTATGCATGGTTGGGTGTAGTCAATTACAAGTAAGATACGAGAATCATAGTTCGATAAAAAATGATTCACTGGATTGTGACGTTTTGGTTACTGCTCAATTTTCTCCGTTAAATTCTGCAGAAAAGTATCGTGTAAAGGGGACAATTAAAAGCACACGTAACAAGTCAGACCCTCTTTATTTTGGACCCATTAGTTTGTCTTCAAAATCATTCTACGCCGGACAGGCAAAAGAATCCATTTGGAGAATGGATCTGGAGATTACCATGGTTCTGATTTCCAATACACTCGCATGTCTTTTTGTTGGATTGCAGCTTTTTCATGTTAAGAAACATCCCGAAGTGATTCCCTTTATCTCTGTCTTGACGCTCATTGTTCTTACTCTGGGGCATATGATTCCTCTGTTGTTGAACTTTGAGGCCTTGTTCGTACCAAACCATAATCAGAAACAAAATGCTTTTCTTCAAAGTGGTGGATGGCTTGAAGTAAACGAAATAATAGTAAGGGCAGTAACAATGGTAGCTTTCCTTTTACAGTTTCGCCTTCTCCAACTCACTTGGTCTGAACGGCAAAGTGATGAAAGCCTAAAGGACTTATGGGAGGCCGATAGAAAGGTTTTATACTTATCCCTACCTTTATATCTATCCGGTGGGTTGATTGCTTGGTTTGTGCACCTACGGAAAAACGCTCACTGGACACCATTTCTACAACCCCATTAGAGACTTCTTCCGTTCAAGAATCATTTCTACCAGCAAACTTCTTTCTGGAGCGACCTTAAATCTTATGGCGGTTTGGTCGTCGATGGGTTTTTGCTTCCACAGATAGTGTTCAACATGTTCTCCAATTCGAACAGAACTGCTCTTGCTGCTTCATTTTACCTAGGAACCACCCTGGTCCGGTTGTTGCCTCATGGATACGATCTTTACAGAGCTCATAGCTTTTCAGGATATCTCGATTTATCGTATATGTATGCCAACCATAAGATGGATCTCTATTCCACGGCCTGGGATATCATCATACCTTCTAGTGGTCTGCTCTTTTCCATCTTCATTTGCTTGCAGCAGCGATTTGGGGGTCAGTGTTTACTACCTAAACGGTTTAGAACGATGCGGTATATGAAAAAGTGTCTGTAGATAACAGTGAGGAATTGCAAGGGGAATCAGTTCAGAAGAACTTTTATAGCTTGTGATGCAGTAATGGCGGAAACAATATTTTCTTCTTCCAGAATTCAAATATATAGTAAAATCGTTTCAGTCACCATGTTCGATAGCTATGGGCTCTATATTCTTTTGCTTCCCAGTTCTGGTATGTTAACCTCCAAACTTGTTGAAATCAAAGAGTGATATACTGAAATAAATGTTGAAAGTAATATGTTTTACATATAAATCAATTTATTTATATCCTGAAGCTTCAATATCCATGGAACTGGAAGAACATAAACCAGGCGAAAGGGAAGGGAATTGTGAGCTTTCAGCAAACCCAGGAGACAATCTCGATCAATCCACGACAGTATTATCCTGAGAATACAATAGCTGATTATTAATGTTCCGACATCAAAAAGTTCCACCAGTAAACTCGGTTTAATCGAATTTTGTTCACCTTAGTTTAAAAGAAACGAACAAACAAACTTTGATTTGGAAATATAAGTATTCTACCAGCTCGCTTGGGCCTTTGTTCAACTGGTCAAGAATATGTAATGCCATAACATATGTTCATATGAACTCAACAAGAACTAAAAAATTGTCTTGTTTCCCAGTCTCAACGGCTATTGATTCAGACAGATTCAAGCAAGATACACGTGATCGCTATACATATGAGAAGTCGTATTCAAAGACTGGAGCATTGCTTCCCCTCTTTGGTTGAAAACGAATGTGGATAAACCACCATTGCTCACATCAATCGACCTAAACCTGAAACATGAAAAAGAAACCGTTAAGAACTGCAGAAAATCGAGCATGGACCATTTACGAACAACGGGTGATATGCAGATCACGATTTTCCAGTTCAACAAGATGTCTAGAAACACATTGACAAGAAAACGGCATACCTCTCGAGGGGGAAGCCCTAAAGCTGAGCAGATCAGTGCCCTTAACATTGATTTCTGAGTGACAACCAAGAAGTTTTCTCCCCGATCAATAATAGACCATTCTTACTAATCAATCAGATCAATTTGACAATTCAGAAGATGATAAAAGTTACAGAAAAAATGAAAACAGAAGAGAGTACACCGGCGAGAACAAGATTTCCCTTCAAGATTCTCTAGCTGTTGTCCACAGTTTCCGAAGAGGGTAGATGCCGTTTACGTAGAAATTCGCCGGATCCTTTCTCCATGTTGTGTACTCCTTTGGATATATCATTTTAGCATCCACTGCCTCCAAATTCTGAATATCATTTAGTCTAGTACTGGTAGTTTTTGCATCATTCCAAACCAGAATGAGCTAATTAAGTTAATCGGTGTTCGAAACTGACTAGATGACTTCTACATAGACCAAGTTAGTAATGTACTTAGACAAGTTGCGAAACAAGTAAACAATAGTTAGAAACAGACCATTTTTCATGCCTTCAAGGTAAAAGAGATGGCACTCCTTAAGTGAATCAAGGAAAACCAGTGGCTCTTCCCTGCCTTGCCATAACACTTCGGCAGTGGTCTGCATCAAAGAAAGATTGTCCGATATAAAAAAGAATCTTGTCTGGATAACTTTAAACGTCAGTAGTCATACCTTAGCACGTGTTATCGGACTCGAAAAACATTGATCAAAGTGCATATTCGCAAGGGCCTGACTACACCTATCAGCTTGCTTTATCCCAGCTTCTGTTAGAACAGATAAGTTTGAGCTTCCCTGTAACTCAAAAGATAACTAAGTCAGCAGTTCAGTCATTCAATTTCATGGGATTCTGATTCAAATGGAACTAACTTCTGTTATGCCCTAACTCTTCATTACGCTAAAAGTACTCAGATCAGACGCATGTATCAGATTATATCCGTGTTTGAGACACATCCAAATCCAAGCAACATAGTCTAATTTCGTATATGTTCAGTTGTTAACAATGAATCGGGCACCTGTATCGAATACACTAGTTTGAGCTTCCATGAAATTCAATGCTCACCAATCACATTCACATTGACATAAAGAAGCTCTCATTTCTCTCATCCAGGGTGGGAGGCACGTTGTAGGCGGGAGAGGTAATGGCCTTCCAACTTTGATGATTTAATCACATTTTAAGAAGTTATTGATATCCTTTTCACATATTAATGAAATTAAAATCTAAATAATTTAATTATTTAATTCCTCGTAGTTCATGCTATATTATTGCAACTAAACCCCACCACCCACAACATAAACAAAAACTTGCAGCAGAAACTAGTTTACAAGGGAGCTGGGGGCAACAAACCTGAACTCTACCCTCTTCATTCCAAGAGCTGAGGCCATGCCTTACAAGAGTTACCTTCTTTGGGGACGATAAAAACCCACAAGTAAGTGATATGGTAGCTCTCTCAAAATAATAAGCAGTACCAGTCAAGGAATAATCATTCTCAAGCTTATCTGTGTCACACACACACACACACCCCATAGCAATCAACTTCAAATTACAAAGAAAAAGGGGAAACGGAGAAAGCAGTGAACTTACCAGCAGTTACGGGGCCCTCTGCACTAGAACTCGAGCATCGAATCCTAGGACTCCAACGACAAAGACTATAGCTTTTACCAGCTAATTTAACATCCTTTTTGGAGGCTATATTTGAGAAGAAAGGGATGGTTAAGGACAGAGCTTCACAAACAATCTTGTACTATCTATGCATTTGACGTTTATGGACAGTTTCTTGTGGGTTTCGGAGGTAGTTAATAGCTTGGTGAAGATGTAGAAAAGAGTCTCTATGATCAAATCTTTGATTATTAGGAGCTTGGCCACTGTAATCCAACTTTGTATGGTAGTGGTAGTGGTTTGTTTTCCTGTGATAAGCTGAGGTTTTGGGTGATTGGGTCAGCTATTCTTATCCTAAGTTACTCTGATATCTTATACTTTTAATATTTCTTTTCTAGAAAATATCAATATTTATTCGAAAATGGAACGGAAGATTCGGTTTTGATTTGATTGGATGAATTTTTTTAAAAAAAATCTTAGAATCAGATTTAGGAAAATTTCTCATTTTATGATAATTTTTTTTAAAGGGTAAACTGTGCAGATAGTCTCTTATGTTTTTCCTCTGATTAACTTTGGTAATTAATTTAAAAACTAAAGGGGAATGATCCCTAACGTTATCGATCAGTTTGATTTTAGTTCATAATATTATCAATTCGTTCGATTTTAGCGTTTCAGTCGTTAACTCTCGTTCGATTTTAGTCCCTCAACCATGTTAGAGACTTAAACAAAAAGGGGTTAATGAAAATTAATTACTGAGGAACTAAAATCAAACAGAACGATAACATTAAAGATCATTTCCCCTTAATTTTTAAATTGATGACTAAAGTCGGTCATACCCTAAACATAGGGGAATATCCACATAGTTTACATTTTATTAAAAATTATACATTTATATATTATTTATTAAATTTTAATGAGATGTTTTTCATTTTAATAAAATATTTTTATTAAATAAATATTAAATCGAGTTGGATCAAATTTTCAATTAAAATTTTGGATCGAGTTTAAAATAAATTAAAATATCTTTAAGTTCGAATTTAATCAAAATAAATTTTTATTGTAGTATTTGATTCATATTTAGGACTATAAAAAACTTACCTCTTCGTAACTATTCTAAACTCAAGATTTGATCCACTCAAATTAAAACTCAGCTAATTTTTTTTTGAATAAATTAAAATAAACTTAATCCTCCAATCGAATGATGTCATGTGTTACTGATACCATGTGTCATGCCACGTGTCATTGGTACCATGTGTCACCATTCGATTGGAGGACTAACTTTTCAAAGTATTGGTGGAAAATAAATACATTAAATTAAAATAAAGCTAGTCCTCCAACCAAATGGTGCACCATATCTCGAACGGTAGCTTTTACATTAGAATTGTTTAATAGAGCTAGCAGAAATAATCTAATTTCTTAATAACAAAATTTTGATGATAATTATTTTACGAAATTAAAAGATTGTGACTCATAAAAGTTGATATTTAATTCAGTAACCTACAATGTAAATCATTCCAGATTCAACTGGATTTTCATTGTTTAATAACCAGTTTCTTTTTCTTCGACTGTTCCAACTGAGCAATTTTATCAGCACAGAACTTCTCTTGCTCAGATAACCCACAAGCTTATGACTGTTATGGTTGAAGTATTTCTATAGTCTCTAAATCTTGTGGGATTGTATTGGTCCTCGTCGTTCGAACTCTTCTTATTTTCGAGTGATTTTGGTTCGGGGTATTCTTTTCCTCCAATTAATATTAGGGAGGTTTTTTAATGAGACATTGACCATTGTCATTGTTTTTGTACGTTTTCACACTTCAATTACATACAAGACACCCTTTTTAAAAAAAATTAGGTTAAACTATAGTCGAAACTAATTATATATCTGGATGATTTTGGGATGAAATTGGAAGATTCAAAAGTTTAAGGGCTAATTTAAAACTAGAGCTATAGTTTGGGAATGAAATTAAAATATTTAAAACTTTAAGGATTAATTTAAAATGAGAATCATAGCTTGGGGATAAAATTAAAATATTCAAAAGTTTATGGATTAATTTAAAGTAAAGGTTATAATTTAGGGACATAAGATATAATTAACACTAATATTAATATTCGGAGCACCCAGGCCCCTCAACGCATTTGTGTCTTTCTCTGGACTCTTCTTCACGATAGACTTAAGACCAACATGGAGCGATTCCGGCGTCTACTCTCCTCTGATACATCTTGTACCTTTTGTGGTGAGCATGTTCTGAGAGATTGTCTGTCCCGAGACCAAACAATTATGGACTCGCATCCTCCCTCCAGCCTTGCTTCCATATTTTTTTACTTAGGACTTGAAAGATTGATTACTCTAGAACATTCAGCTCGTATCCTATCATAGCAGATGGTCTTGTCAATGGCGGTATTTTTTTACTTCTCTCATATGGCAACTCTGAAAAAGACAAAATGATTTTGTCTTCACCCAAAGTTGCTCCACAGCAAATACATGCCTCTCTATTGTTGCTACTTGGGCAACGTTTTTCTTCGATAACTCCAACCCAGGGCTCTCCCCTTCTTCACACATTCCCCAGGCTATTCAATGGACGAAGCCTGCTCATGGTTGGATTACTTTAAACACGAAGGTAATTGACTTCTTGATTTCAACGGATCCACTGGTTTTTGCTCTACCCTCAAAGCTGAACTCTGGGGCATGCTTCTAGGCCTGAGACTTGCATGGGAAAATGGCTGCAGACACGTTTATCTCCAGTTTGATTGCCTTGAGGCAATCCCTCTCGTAAATGACGATCACTATGCAAATTGCTCCTTGGTCCAATCAATCAACCATATTAGGGAGCGCCAATGGACAATAAGAGTCGAATGGATCCCTCGAGAAGCAAATAGGATCGTAGATGCCCTTGCTCACTCCCAAATTGATATTCTTGCTGGTATGTACGTTTACACAGAACCCCTGGTGTCTATCTTGATCTGCTTAATCGTGATTGCAATGCCCCTTACATGAGAGCTTAATGTAACCTTGATGTTTTTACAATTCAAAAAAAAAAAAAAGATCAAATCATAAATCATAAAATAGATTAAACAGTTATGCATATGCTGCACTGTTTATCAATAATGGAACGGTATTCTGCTATTAAATGGGCCTCTTCGATAGACACGCTTTTTTTCTCCTATAATTCGCCCTCTTTTATATTTTTGGTTTCTCTTTGTAAAAGACATAAACACAAACTCAAAAGTTTGTCGAGTTTCCAGCTCTTTGATTTGGTAAGTTATCGGTTATTGATTCTATTTTGTTCATTAGTTTTCATTTCGATTGATATCAATATCGCTCTCCTTAGATCGAATAAACTTTGTTTTTTTTAAAATAAAATTGAAATTGTCTCTTTTATAATTATCGGGAAATGTTTCCTTCCGATTCCCATGGATTTCTTTTTGACAAACAAGTTAGAACTTTGCCCTTTGGTTTGTGTTCGAGAAATTAAAGAAATTAAAGAAACCTAATTATGCAGAAACAAGAATCAATGGATTAATTGCTCTCGAATGCTAGTTTATGATTGCGCAACTTTGGTTAAAAAATCATGCTCCGATAAGGAAATTAAAAACTTAGTGTTGTAGTTTTCGATTTTGTTCTTGGAAATCAATCAATTGATTTCTTTTTAGAATAAGAAAAAAAGATCGAGTTTGTGTCGGCCATGCCCCATTGACAACTAAGGGGACGGTATCGGTGGTGGATGGTTAATAATTTGATGGGTTTCAAGGTTTCATGTTTTACGCAATTTTGACCTGAAGAAATAAAGAACATAGTAAAATGCAGTCTGCTGTTTTTTGCTTCATATGAATCATTGTGTCCTGGGGCAGACTTGTAAATTTTATGTTGGATGGGCTACCTTATAAAATTTTAGAATAGAAAATACAAAGAAAATATCGAAACTCCTCGGTCCGTCCTTGATTGTGTCTTCTCAAATCGTTGAGTTTTTTTTTAATCTCAACTCCCAGTGAGTTTTGGGCCAAAATGAAGGAGTATTTGGATTTGCAGCTAGTGGGAGTTGCTGCAACTTGCAACTAAGGTTACGGGGAAACCCTGAATCGGAAAGCTAGGTGTTGAAATTGATCAGTTTACAAACACCATAGCCCGGAGTTACCGTGGGAAATATTTTTTTTGCTACCTGGACTCGGGGGTAAGTGATGGGTATATCAGTATATGTATATATCCATACTTATGTTTGAATATGCATCGACCAATGTTGTTTTTACCCGGGGAACTGATTGTTGAAAACTAGTACTTTTTTTCATAAACCACTATCTCAAGCTAGTTACTATTACCTATAGGTGCTTTGAGATGCATGAATGTAATTTGTGGTCCCTAAAATTTGCCTTGCCTTTTCTTCTTATCCATTTGGTAGAAAATGTGAATCAAGCTATGCGTTTCTACCTTATCTGTTTGGTGCTTATCATAATTTTGGCCCCTCACATGTTCCTGCATATACAGCTGCTACCTGATTGCTGGTCTTTTGTATTATACATCATAGTTATTGTCTTTTTTCTCTCTCTTTCTGTTTTCTAGATTTGTTGCTTTGCTCTGTGTCTAGTTGCTTGATTGTTGATCCTAAGTGTCCTAGTTTTTAAATCTGAGTTTCTTTTTTCGAACAGATCCATGGATTTTGAGCAATATTATGCTCGGGAATGGAGGGCCATCCCCGATGCTTCAAGAACCGAGAATTTGAGTGGTAACTTTGACTGCAATATCTGCCTAGACTTCGCTCACGAACCAATTGTCACACTCTGCGGTCACCTCTACTGCTGGCCCTGCATCTATAAGTGGCTTCATGTCCAGAGTGCCTCCCTTGATCAAGATGAGAATCCACAGTGTCCGGTTTGCAAAGCTGATATATCCCACACCACCATGGTTCCCCTTTACGGTCATGGCCAATCTGAATCCGAGTTTCGAGGCAAGGCACTTTATGGGGGTATGGTGATACCCCCTAGACCGCCGGCTTGCGGCACACAGCCTTTTCTATCGCCTACATCCCCAAATGGTCAGCAGCTTCCTTATCGCAACCCTTATCAAAATCAAAACTACAACCCCCATGCTTACTATGAAGATGATCCATCATCACCGTTGCTTAACGTCGGGGGCACATTCCATCATCCCCTTGTTGGGATGTTTGGAGACATGGTATATGCAAGGGTTTTCGGAAACTCGGAAAGGATATACGCGTATCCAAACTCACATCTGGTAACGGCAAGTAGTAGCACCCCCAGGTTGAGAAGACATGAGATGCAGGCTGACAGGTCACTAAACAGAATTTCAATCTTCCTCTTCTGTTGTTTCCTTTTGTGCCTGATTGTATTTTGAGCTTCTTATATGCCACTTCTGTGTTTGTATAAATTGTAAAGAATCAAGATGTAAGCTTGTGGTATAGCCGCTTAGGCAAATGAGATCATACTGTATGATATGATATAATATCAGAGTTTATCTGAAAAATTGTCATTTTTTTTACAACTGCCTCTACAGGCCGATGGTGTAATTAGAGAGCAAAGGGTGTTTAGGTGACTTGTGTTAGATTTGTCTAGAAATTAAGTTGACAAGTTGAAAATTTTATCTTGGTTGGTAGCTAACTTATTGGAAATTTCATCTTGGTTGGTGGTCAAACTTTGAACATATGAATTTCATATTTGGTGGTTAACTTATACACATTGGAAAATTCTTAGGTAGGTGGCCAAACTTTGAACATATTGTTCTTAAAACTTAATTATAAATAGGCTTAAGTATTTTCATTAGAAATCATCCCAAAAAACAAGTTCTCTCTTCCTATTGTATTCTTCATTCTCCCACTTTGAGAATTCTAAAAAATTCTATTTGTTGTAATATTGGCGATATAGTGAAGTTATCATCCAGTTTGGTGCCCGAGGAGTAGACGATATTCTCGTCGAACCTCGTAAATTTGGTGTGTTATCTCCTTTATTGTTTTTATTCGGTTCTTTTCCATTGTGTTTCAATATTCAATAGTTTGACAGGTTTATCTGTTGTGCAACCTTTGGTGGTTTTAATCTTGACATTTTAAGTTAATTTTAAAACTACGTTCGTGTGGGAAATAACCCGTTTTCCCCCAACAACTTGATCCCACGTCAATTACATCATTTGGTCCTTCAATTTTCACTAACTCTACAATTCAGTACCCACTACAGCCAAGCTCTTAATTGAGTCATCATGTGGTGTCTTGACGTTGGAAGGTAAATAATAGTAAGTGATTTACACCCTAAACCAATTTCAAATTGTACCCTCTCTCTTCATTGTGCTCCTCGAGAACTGTTATAGGGATATGAAGATAAAATATCAATCATTTCACCAGGGGTTAGGTCACAATAAGCACTCGATGCCCTACATAATCTTCGGATTGTGCCTTCCTCTTACGTAGTGCTCCTTGAGTCTTGTACAAGATAAAGAGAGAAAATCCCACAATAATATTATTTTGAGAATATAATAATTAATTGTTGAATGTTACAACTAGCCGTATAATGGAGAGATCCATTAACAAAAATAATTGTTTTTTGGTAAACAATAAAGAATGCTATTAGGCAGCTACCGGAAGCGCTTGATCTTCATGCAGCAACGATGACGGCATTCCTGGGGGACCATCCACTTCACACGCTCATTCTTTTTGGCCAATTTTGCCAAGTAATCTACAACCTTATTTCCTTGTCGAGACACATGATCAAACTGCACCACCCAATTTTGTTTCAATAACTCCGTTACGTGACTCACAAGTGTTACCTTGCAATGCTCATTTTCAGCTGCCTTTAGCGTCTCTATAACTTCCATGCTATCGACTTCAACGATGATTTGATTACGCCCCACTTCTAAGGCACATATCAGTCCGGGATACACACCCCAAAAGTTCAGCTTCCAGGACAGAACATATTCCTATAAACTTGGTAAATCTCATTTTCCATTCACCACCATGATCTAGAATAACTCCACCACATGAAGTTAGACCTGATTTCTTATGCCTGGCACCATCCGAATTCACCTTTAACCAGCCGGAAGAGGACACTGCCATACATTCACACGAGCTGGACCTCATGGTTCCTGACTAGTTTGCTGCAATCCGATTGTTGAAGCTTGGTTCATGATCTCCATTAAGTTTTTTCTCTGTTTCTATAATCGATCGATCATCTTCAATTGGTGAATCAAACACAACCGAGTTGTGATATAGCCACATGTTCCACACCATGTAACCAACAAGAGTTCCTAATTTTCAACGTTACTTACAAAATCATTGCAATTGTTGAGATTCATAGTTATTCAAGCTTTCATGTCCATAGATATAAAAGCTTGTAGTTTCTCTGGTTTCATCAACGCCACCCATCGGGAAAGCGCACATGGACAGGCTCTCAACAAATGATGGATGTCTTCCTTAGGGACAAATCGGGCAGCTAGTAGCTACTATCGGTGGTAAGATGCGCCTCATACGTTCAGCATTTATCAACAAATGATCATTACCAATTATCCAGAAGAACATTTTAACTTTCGGTAAACCACGATATTATTGATAATTGCCCAAACCTCCTACCTTAAATAAGTGGGATAACCAACGCGAAACTCATACCCAGACTTAACCATGAACAGACGATCATCACGCAAGCTCCAACCCACAACATCCATTCCAAACTGATGCGCTAGACATTTCTTTGTTGCGATTTTCAGCAGTATATTTAACGGAAAAAATTGCTTGAGAAGTGGCTATTGTCGGTTTCCATCCTCGTTGGTCATTTATGCTACAGGAATCGAATGCATATCAATCGCTCCAGCAGACATAACATGATTAATTAGAGGTCCACAATCGTCCAGCCAAGAATTGAACCAAAAACCAACAGATTGTCCATTCCGAATGCACCAATTAATATTGTTTCGAACATCATCCCAAATGCACGCCGAACTCCTCCACAAAGTAGAACAATTAGTGCTTTGGACTACCTCTGGAATTTCCTCGTTACATTTGTATTTGGACCGAAGAAATTTTACTCGTAGGTGGTCTTTCTTGGTTAAAATGTTACACACAATCTTCATTATAAATGCATTATTTTGTTGTTCAAGTTTCCGAAAACCAAGATCACCATGGTTGATCGGACAACAGACATCCTTCCAGTTAACAAGATGAACACCTCTCCTACCATCATCAATACCCCAAACAAATTGTCATTTAATGCTGTCTAAATATAATATTGATTTGAAAGAAAAAAAGGTTAAAATTTACACTTAAATTTTAATTACTCAAATATGATAATTTAAATATAAAATTAACCTAAATCTAATATGATCTAATTTAAAAATTGATTTGAATAAAAAATATTTGACTCGATTCAAAATGTGATGGAGCCAATAAACATGTACATATGAAATCATATCTATTTTACGCCAAGTGAAACTTGAGATTAATTGATTAGAAGGGCATAAATATGTTTGATAAAATGTGGTGATGAGGGAAAATGAAGTCACAGTCACAGCCTTAATGAACCCCAAAAACAGGTGTGGTCACACGATTTTGTCAGCGAGGATCAGTGAGGACACGTGTGTAGAGCCAGAGGCTCCGTTCTCAACTTCATTTACCACATCAATGGCTTGCCTAAACAATAAGGCAAGGATCAATATGTATGGACGACTTTTTAAGGGCCACGGCTCAAAGTTCGACGAGTACGTTATTCTTGAAGAAGTAAATTTTTATGCTAATAGAACAAGTTTAAATTTATAAAATTTTAGGAGGGATAAATTCGAAGTTATAAAATTTTAAAAGAAAAAAATAATTTTTAATGCAAAATACATAAAAATATAAAAATATATAATAATTTTAAAATTTTAGATGTCTAAATTTATCCCTGCTTGAGGATCGGTTCAAGTATCAGAATTGCAGCAACACTATGGGCTTGAACCGAGCAACAGAACCATCGGGACTGGATTGATCTTAGCCGAGCTTTACATGGACAAAGCCCAATTCTCTATAACAATATGAACAAAGGGTTAACGTTAATCTTGAAATTGCAAAAACCCAAGCTAGACAAAATCATTAAGGTTGCGTTTGGTTGGCATGAATCCCTTCGAATTAAAGGGAATTGGAATCCAATTCTACCACTTTCTCATGTTTGGTTCAAGTTTTCCAAGGGAATTGGAATTCAAGAATAGATAGAATTCAATTCCCTTGTTGGTGAAAATTGAAATTTGACCATATTACCCTCATCAATCTTTTGGTAACTTATTCATATATTGAATAAAAATATTTTTTTTATTTCGGGTCGGGTCGGTTTCTAATTCATATATTCGGGTCGGGTCGGGTGAAACTTTATTTTGGTTGGATCGGGTCGATTTTTTTAAGTGTGATATACGACCCTAAAATATATATAATTTTACCTTATATATTTACGAATAATTACAATAATACCCCTCTATATATAATTTTTTTCAATTAAGTCACTGTTTTTATTGAATAAAAATAATTTTTTTATTATTTCGGGTCGGGTCGGGTCGGGTGAAACTTTATTTTGGTTGGGTCAGGTCGATTTTTCTTAAGTGTGATATTCGGGTCGGGTTCGGGTTTAGGGTGAAAAATACTCGACCCGACCCAAAAAATACATAATTTCACCTTATATATTTAGGAATAATTACAATAATACCCCTCTATATATATATTTCTTTTCCAATTAAGTCACTGTTTTTATTGAATAAAAATAATTTTTTTATTATTTCGGGTCGAGTCGGGTGAAACTTTATTTTGGTCGGGTCGGGTCTCGAATGGAGGTTCCCTTGTTCTCGGGTCTGGTCGGGTGGACCAAAAACCCGGCCCATGACCATCACTAATTGGGATGATTTTAACTTATGATGTTTATTAGCATGATTTTTATAATTTATTAAAATGAATAATCAATCAATAAAATTAATTTTTTTTTAATTTTTATAATATATTGCTACATGTAATTTATAAAACAAACTAAAATTAAGAAAAAAACAAGAATGGCAATCCTATCATTTTACATTACTGAAATCAAATTCATCTGACATGTCTGCGAACCAAACAGAATATGGAATTGGATTCCAATTCAATTTTCTGCCAACCAAACATAATATGGAATTGAATTCTAATTCCTGACAGATTTCAATTCCTTCACAGATTTCAATTCCCTCATAAATATTCCAGCGAACCAAACGCCACCTAAGGAGCTAATTGAAAAATTAATTTCTAAACTATAATTCTTTTATAGGTTTTTAAGTTTTTTTATTCAAGTATTTAAGAATTTATTCTATTTTTATTTTCAAGTAAAATCTATTATGTCCGTTTAAATAATTTATTTAATTAATACATGACATGTGATCTTATGTGTTTCTTTATTATTCGAAATTTTATTTTCTCGCTATTTATTTCTTTTTATCTTATATTTTTATTGATAAACAAATAGAAAAACAGAAAGAAT